ACTAGCGGTTGAAACGAAGACAAGCCTAGCAGGCATATGTACTGTGCTGGAAGACAAGGCGGTATCAAACGAGCCTACGGGCAAGCAGACGACTACAGATGGAGAAAGATACGTCGAGGCTGCTGAGTTGGACCCAAGCCTTGCCAATGTTGTGATTGGTGCGACGTTGAAAAAGTTGAATTGACTAGATTAAAGCAGACAAGTGACTCGGAGAACAAGAGACCGACCGACCTGGAGCAAACATCGATAGAAAACGGCGATTAACCTCCACCGTCAACATCTTCTCCTCTTGATTATTCCTCTGTTCCACAACTCATTCGACTACTGGGATTTGACCCATCGACAGAGCAGCAAAAGGAACGAGCTCTACTACGTCTCATGCGCATGTGCGTCACCAACCGCAAGCGCGTCCAAGTGTACAGAGCGCAGGGGATTCCCGTCCTCTCGGACTTGGCGCGCACCAGCAACAACTTTTTCACTCAACTCTACGCTCTGCACTGTCTGAGCTGGTTCACCTTCTCCCACTCCAAGATGAGCGAATCAACATTCACAGAGCTGCAGCGCTGCGTTCGAGAGCCGACACACTCGGAAATCCTCTCGATGCTGGACGAACTACAGCACGGGGACGAACAAGCGAAAGAGGTCGCAGCACTGCAATGTTCCTGCCTCGCTACACGCGGAGACGGAGACATGCTACGTCGCGTCGGACTGTTGCCTCTACTGACTTCTCTTCTCTCTGAGGGCACTTCAAACCAGCAACTCTGGGTGGCTGAAGCTATCGTGACTCTCGCTAGTAACAGCGACGACAACTGCGTGGCAATTGCACGTGAAGGAGCCATCCCACCGCTGGTTACACTGTTGCGTTCCGAGTCGGATATGCACAAGCAGGAAGCCACTTACGCGCTGGGAACTCTGGCTGCAAACAACGCGGTGAATCGAGCGAAAATCGCTCGCGAAGGAGCCATTCCCCCCCTGGTGGCGTTTGTGAGAGCCGCGACGGATGCGCAGACCCAATGGGCCGTCTACGCTCTGGGGTTTCTGTCGCTTAGTAACGAGGAGAACCGCGTGTTGATCGCTCAGGAAGGCGCTGTCCCTCCTCTGGTTGAGCTGCTGCGGACTGGAACGCAAGCGCAGAAGCAGTGGAGTGCGTACACTCTGGGGAATCTGGCTCATAACGACGAGAACCGAGTAGAAATCACGCGAGAAGGAGCCGTCACGCCGCTGATTGAGCTGCTCCGAAGTGGGAACGGAGATGCAGAAGCAACGAGCTGCGTTTGCGTTGGGGAACTTGGCGTGTGATAATGACGTGGCGAATGGTAGCCGATGAAGGCCATCTTGCCGCGTCGAGGAAGTTGG